CAATCGTTTTTTTCGGTCGGACTTAATTCGCCGGTCTCTTGGATAAACTTTTCACCATTAAGTATCAAAGACAAAGAAGTTGAACAATAAATATATATTGTGACTATTTCAACAAGCTGAGCTATTGGTTATAACATGACTATATAGTAGATTAGAACTCATACATACAAATAGGACTTGAAAACCAAAGTAATACCTACCTACTCATTGAGTATATTTGATTCCCTTCAATAGTAAACTATGGCGTTTTACTGCTTCAAGCGCTCCTAGAACACTGGCCAGAAACACAYACTGTAGCAACTGACGAGAACGAACATGGATGTAATAACCATGCAGGTACTATGTTATTATCGATTGTCACAGTCGCGCGATATGAAATGATAGATTAGCGGACAAAAAGAAAAACGCGTCCTCGCGTCCTCTTCTAAATCTTATATCACAATCATTGTCACCTAAATGTTACTGTAGAATGCAACTCACTTATCAAATATTTTGTAAATCATCGTCGACAACGGTTTTGTAAAAAGATAAATTTAACACCGTAAAAAAGTAAGTGAAATAACTTACTGACATTTCGGACGCAAATCCTTCGTCGGAGTAAAGAGGAAGGATTAACAAAACTGTTTCTTTAGAAAACAGACGCAGCACACACTAGTTTATCACTAGTTTCCACCATTTTGACTATCGTCGACAACGGATGGCGTCGAAAACTTTATCCTTCGTTGTCTTAACAGACAGCCGCCATATTGATTTTCTTAAAATCTGTACCATAATGCACTTCGCGAAATCAAACAGAAGTCGTAACGACATCACTGATACCAATGATTGACAGCTGTCATGTGTATTATTTCCCTGCAGAAGATGGCAGAGAAGCTAGCGCCAGTGAAATAAACATCAACGTGGAACCAGTAAGTACCATGTTTTGGGCTTCCTGTGCTGATTACGGGCTTCCTGTGCTGATTACGGTCTCCCTGTACTTTACAAAATCACAGGGATCCCACTGATTTTTTTATGTATATCAATCTTTGCAGAAAGTCGTTGTGGGCAATGGTTTTTATAGCATTCCCGATCATACACCGTTAATATTCAGCGAAAGTAGTGGGACAGGACGGACATTGTTTAGAYTGCTTGCTTCTGATGCGTCTGGTGAAAATGAAGGCTATCTATTGGCTGAGACTGTACCACAATGGGTTGTTGACGTCACAGTGAAGGTATGATTGACAGGTAGCCCAGGCCCCACCAGCAAAGGAAAGAAAGAGGGTCTGAGAACGAGGTTATTGACTCCATCATTCAGTGACGGAAATACTGATCATAACGCAGCGAAGACCTGGGCTTGAGATATCGCTGTAATCTCGCAGCTCTTAGTTGATAAGTTGTATATACAGTTTAATTCTCCTCCTTTTGCGAAATTCCAGTTTTGGTATTTGATGTTGTTTGACGTTATTTCAGAGACAAACACCTAAGTTTCCAAAGATTGCATTCAGCTTACAGCCTCACGCCACGAGTACATCCAARTCACTGAAACCGTRAGTACTGAAGAAATGATGTCATTACTGTGGAAATCAATGTCATCATCATTTCGTTATACTGTTGWTATTATCATCCTCGTCTTACCAACTGAGCACCGGTTGCTGTTTTTATCATTAGCCATGTTAGTGAGGTATCCATGGAGTTAGGCGAGTGAATTTMTTTTATGTTMAAACCACTTTTGGTGTTTTTCAGAATGAGTCCCATTCAGATTTAATTTCTTCTTTTATTCACTTGTCTCGATTCCTATCTCTGTWATCTTGAATCGTAAAATGAGGTTGTCTAACAAATCAAATAAAAGAATTATTTTAACCATGTAAAATGCGTCKTCTTGATAAGCTTAGCTTTCTAATAACCTATCCGTTCTAATGTATTGTTTACTTGCTCTCTTTAGTGATAAACTGTCGGCAAGTGATATGCTTCATGTACGTAAAGTAATCGAACATGTTTATGAGAAGGTTATTGGATGGGACAACACGTCCCATTCCAGCAGCACCCCTACCACGCCCACCGGCGAGAAGACACAAAACCCACCCACATACGATAACGAGGAAGACAGGGCTTCCATTGCTGAGTCTAGAGTAGAACTTCTTTGTCAAGATCAGGTGAGAGCTCTATCTTGTAAATAAAACAAGAGAATGAATATAAAGTCAATATCAGAGAAATACATTCAACTCTCTGCTTATGAAAAACCCGTTATTACGGATACTGAGATAATCCGCGCTCCAAAGAAATTACTAAAATTATAWAACGTTATGAAGAGAGTTCACTGCATCATAAAGGGTTACTAACTAACATATCGATTGGCGATCCAAAAGAGTACGGAGAGACAGAAAGAGTCGGAAACGCCAGTAAGTTTAGTCTATCTTTTAGGTTGTGTGATTTGTACTTTAATCGCAAAGCTTACTAAAGACTGCGTTGATGCAATGTTAACCAACGATAGTATTAATGATATTAATATTATTAATATTTTATCATGATATTAATATTATATGGTACCGACGGCTGAAAATGAATTTTAAACAACTTTATCTCAAACGCATTGACCTTTCGTATGTTTGTTCATCGATCGCGGTGCATGCCGGAAAATAAAAGTTGTTATTTCCATTGTCAGGTATTGGATCCTGGTATGGACTTAAGGACCGTTAAACACTTTACCTGGAAAGGTGCTGGCGATCTGGTCTTACAGTACCGCCTGCTYAAACAATAGCAMAGGAAGAMCMTAGTTTACTTTCAGTTTAATTTTCTTKTATAATTTCAACACTTAAAARCACCCATCGATAGAAATCTCAGCAAAATCTCACAAATCTCCAAAAAGAAAACCCTCTAGAGCTTTCGATTACATAATGATTGGCTGTTTCTGTAACTAACAGCACAGGAAGCTCAAAAGCTTTACAATGAGCGCATTGTAAAATGAGTGACAAACAGTTAAACAAACCTCTCATAGTGGGACACTGACCTTACTTTTTCTTGCGTCCGACTTCAAGATGTTCGACCTCTACATCGATATAGGAGAGCCAAAGTCAAACCCCAGAATATCGCTAAAGTTGTCTGAAACAGACCGGTTTAAAGAGGCTCGACCACAATATGTATAATTATGTTGGGTTTAGACTAAAACTTGGACATCGAGCATCTTTGGAACAGACCTAAATTTACGTTGACTGGCCGGTTTAAAGGGGTGCGATTACGCAGAAAACGTCGATGTAAAGGTGCGTTTCTAGCCTCCTCAGTCAACTCCACTCCAAGGGATTCCTGTGTTTAAGTCAAACGAGCTGACGGAGTCGAAAGGGTAAGAAAAGAAGAAAAGTTTATTTCTAAGTTCTCGATACCAGTTCCTCTCGATCAAGTTTATCACAGGAAGACCAAAAAGACACTGGAGTTGCCTGCGATGAAGACTAGTGCGTTTCTTACATGAAATTTCTTTTCTTTAAAACACTCCCAGAAATCATAATGCTGAACAGGATTAAACCCAATATGTGAAGTATTTAACACACAGTCACACCAAGAAACTTTATTTTAAGGAAAACTAGTTTCGTCCCAGAATAGACCTTTTCAATTCCTTAAGTTTACGTTTGGATTTCTACGACTTTTAAACTAATCGCGCGCGTTCTGTTGAAAGCGCGCGCTAATTAGACAGCTATGACTACATTTACGATTACAACAAGTATTTCTACGACAGTTCGATATTAGCACGTGGTATTAAGACAGTGTTCCACTCTGTTTTGGTGTTCATAGATCTTCCGTCTCTCTTTANTTCAGGCCAGGGGTTTAAATTCACTTGATATAACTGCAATAAAAGCTATTGTTTTCAAGGTGAGGACATTACAGGAGGCTGAAAAGTATTTGGTCGCGGGAATTCGCAGGTGTATAATGTGAATGTCAGTGAGAATTGATCGTTTTCGACCATTCCCAGCAGATTCAATAAATAAAACACCGGCGCTTATGTTGGAGGAACAAACAATAGATACTAATGAGAAATCCTTTGTTGAAGTTCCCCCAAAATGGCCGCTGTGACGTATAGTGAAAACGAAGAATTTTGTATCTTTCTTAGAAAGATTGCAAAGAAGTCGATAGTCAATGAGCAATATACACTGGAAAAAATCGCGCGCCATAAAGGTTGTAAATTTGATGTAAATATGATGTAAGTGTCCAAAATTCTGTAAATTTAATGGAAATCATTTACATCAAATTTACAGAATTTTGGACACTTACATCATATTTACATCAAATTTACAACCTTMAAGTGATAGATGATGCAAATTTTTCATTTAACTGACTAGGAACTTGACCATTGAAATACTGCTTTTGTTAGGAAAACTGAGTCGGTTTTTCATAACAGTAACCCTCTAGGCGAATTAATTTTGTGATGGTAGAAATTTAACGGAAACACTAAAAATAAAATTAATGGAGCAATCAAGAAATTCAAAAATAAAAAGGAAATTGGGTTGTAGATTATGAAGATTACCAAGTAGTCCCATCTGGTTCAATCAAACGTGAATAGAATTAACATCAAATAATAGAAGTGGTATATCAGCCTCCAGACATCCTGGTGGTCGGTGTTGATAGACATCCTGGTGGTCGGTGTTGATAGACATCCTGGTGGTCGGTGTTGATAGACATCCTGGTGGTCGGTGTTGATAGACATCCTGGTGGTCGGTGTTGATAGACATCCTGGTGGTCGGTGTTGATTACTCTGCTTGTGTCACGTCCATAAACTTTACCTGACTTCCTTCTCGGTCCAGTGCTTGGGCTACCTGTGTCTCAGTTAGTCAAATGTTCGGCTAGACTGGAGGACTATGGGTAGTTAACATTGCATGGATCTCACTATAACACAGAAGACTGAACTCCTAAAGGCATTCGCACTGACGATTTGTCTTGCGTTTTTTCGAGCTATTTTCAAGGAATATGATAGATTTTATGATAGATGATGATAGATGATGAAATATGGTTAAATATGGTTATTGTTATGCTAGAGACGTTTAGCTAGCTCATCTCAATGTACTTAAATAAGGTTAAGCTTTACAAATTCCCTGCGTTTTCTCAGGCTCCTTTTCAAGACAATTCTTTATAAAAATACACCACATTTAAAAATCGTAATTGTTATTTTAAAATTATAAAAATGACCATAAAAAAATTCTAGTATGAACGGGTCTTAATAGTCTTCTAGCAATGAAGAGTAAAATGAATCATATCTCAAATATGTTCATTTTCTAATGATATTCAATTGTTTAAAGTTTCAGTTTTGTCCATAATCCTTTTCGAACCCATATTTACGTGGGATTTGGCGATCATCTCAACAGTGTTTGATAAAAAGACTTTAGACATTACAAAGGTTTCAAGTTTGAAGACATTTTCGATGAGAGATTTTGTTAATTTTATGTCATTCTTTTAGCGAGTTGTGGTAGGTKTACGTTCCACATTTGTTAATTGTTTTAACGTGGCGACAAACGCGCAAGCTAGCTGAGCAAAAAGGGACAAAAATCTTGATGTGACTTGGCGCCCCGTGGTTCACTTCCATTTAAGTTGAATAACATATTCCGGTCGAATTAAGCAAAAAATGACTCACCTCTGGACAAACAAAAACATTATGTATTTTAGTTTTGTTGCATCCTTGTCTACACTTTAAAAAAAATCCAAAGTTCCAAGAGAATGGGAGGAACAGGAAGCCCAAGATTGTGTTACACTTATCAAAATAACTCAGGTTGAATTTCCTTTGAGTAGAAATGATCTATAACTGATAATAACATGTAGTGGGCATCGGGGCTTCCGAATTTCAATACAACCACATTCCACTTTTAGAAATATTCTATCTGAACGTGAGTAAAGATTATAGACACTTAAAACAAACTCCGTATTTAGAAGCTATCAGGCGAGGGATCAAGACATTCAGGGAGGAAGAGATGAAACGTTTTCATTTGTATAAGTCTTATTTCTTACGTTATTCTACTTTACGTTACGTTATTCTACGTAACGTTGCGTTTTTTCTACATTACGTCATTACGTTACGTTACGTTATTCTACATTACGTCATTATACGTTACATTATTCTACGTTATTTCATAAATTTAATGCAAAAAAAAGATACATGTTAAGTTAATTTTAATATCAGTGATGTAAATCATGATATGATATTGAATCATGAATTTCATAAAAGGCGGGCACCTTGTGAGGTCAGAATGTCTACCTATGTTTTCCTCRATATGTCAACGTGGACATGCCACACGTACACGGAATTCGAAGCGTGCGCAATAGGGTAACATTTGTCGTCATTGATAACAAAATGACGTCACACAAAGCTGATTATTGATTGGCTGATAGTTGTAGAAATGCTACCGCTATCTTTTGTTGTTGTTGTTGTTGTTATTTTGAGAAAGAAAAACATCGAAAAAACCGGTTCAAATATAGCTTATTGAAAATGTTATGTGCTAGAAATGATAGAAAATATACTTATCTCAAACAAAATAAAAAGTGGCAGCGCACTGAAAAAGGAACAAATATGTATGTCTGGTTTGGTTAGTGTTGATGTCTCAAACTTTGATTACGACTTCTTTCGGATTTCCCTGTATTTGTTTATGCTTTGATACGTCAAAGTGAAAACTGCACTTTATTCGTGTGTCCTATTTCRAGCGTTTTTGRCATGTTTTTGACTTCAATGCTTTAGCCATTTAGTGGCATTTCAAGCTTATTGTCGGAGTTTGAAGCGGAATCAGAAGACATGAAAGGATCATGGATAATACTTTTGAAATTTGAAAAATGTGTTGAAGTTCAGGAATTATACGATATCAGGATGGTGGGAACTAGGAATCGCGGATGATGAAAAAAACTTGACTTGAAAAGCTAGGAATAAAGAAAAATTGAAGAAAATTTGCCATTAATAGTGAGTCAACGGTTGGAATGATTCTGCTTGTGACTCGGATCTTAGTGACATCTAGTTCTGTTAGTAGTAAGGAAAATGAACAAGAAATGCGAGACACTAAAAGCAACTTTGACTGAGCAGTAAAAACAAAGCAAATACAAAGACAAACAGACGACTAGCGCTATTTAGAACGCAAATAATACTTGAGATGAAACCAAAATTCTAAGCAAATGTTTATCAATTAGCGCAGCATTTCTCAGTCTTAAGAAATGAAAGTACTTTTTTCCGACCATAAAACCGTGAAATACACTGACTGCGTGAACCATTTACTGCTCTTTATTTTTTGTGCACGTTTTAATTTCAGTCAGTGAATAATATATAATTAATCTTTAGCTATTAAACTTTGTTTCACAGGTTTATAGAACACTCTTATTTTTTTGTGATTTATCCACAGGACAGACTAACAGATAAAGAAAAATATAACCGAAATGCAGCGAAATATAGCGTGTTTCATATATATAATCTGTTTTTATGATATTCTGATTTTTTTAATGTACGTGCACTCTAATTCACAGTTTTTGAAGGTTATTTTTATAAAAGTAATTATTTAGTTTAAAAAATAGAGAAACTACTGACGGTTGAGACGATTTTACTTCCCTTTATAATTGTCGGATCGGAGAAAACAGAAAAAAATATAATAAACAATAAACAAATAGAATTCTAACGGATAAAGACTTACAAATGACAAGTAAACAACAATTAACAAAGATAAACAATCTTGCTTATCCTGAATGCAGGGAAATCTATATTAATAGACCTACTGAGAGCCGTCAGAACGCACAACGCCAACACAAAACCCTAAAAACATGACATGACTTAAATTAAACTCAGGGAAAATTAAATAAAAGAAGAAAAGGGAGACAAAAGGGAACGTTATGTTCTTATCGCGATCTATCACAAAAACTGATTTTACGTAAGTCCTTACGTTCAAACAGTAGGAGTAYGTTTAGGACTACGTCTACGACTGAGCAGTACGTCATACAATTTAATGTAGCCGCGGGGTTTCGATTTTGCACGAAGTAAAAACACCCTGCTTAAATTTCCAAGCTGCCTAATTATCTCACCTGAATGCTGTAAAGAAATACGCCGTGGTACAGTTTGTTTTTGATGCTGTAAATACATCTGTCATGTGATTGTAACGTGACGGCGCGCGCGATACGTCAAACTCACTATCGACAACATTCGTTTAAATTCTCGTCAGTAGTTAGCCCGGTCACCCACTTATTGTGAGCTCACATCTTAAACTGTTCTCTGACGTACTTCACAGGAAGAGAGAATAATTATTCGAAAGATTTAAAACAGTCTTAGGAAAATTAGCCAAAATAGAACTGAAAGCCGATTCAATCAACATACAAGCAAAACTGATATTATTCTTGAATGAAGGAARAGGATGAATTTTACAAACTCGACGWCTATGATATCAGCACAGATCTGCTCCACATTGGTTGTCGAGAACTCTGTTCAAGCTAAAGTGGTGAAAACAATAGCTTTCTGTGTTGTAATGGCGATGTCATTTTTTGGAAACATTCTTCTTGTTCTTGTTGTGTACAAACATCGAAAGAGTGGAATGATGACTACGACGAACTGTTTGATTGTTAACATGGCTTTTTCTGATTTAATCATTCCATGTTTTGCCGTACCAAATAAGTTATATAATKTGATGGAGGACGCGGATTTTCKTTGGCTATTCGGGGGTTGGGAAGGACTATTTCTGTGCAAATTTTTGAACTTCTTCCTCGATGTTTCGACTGCCGTTTCKATTCAAAGTCTCGTCGCGATTGCTGTGGATCGATTCTATGGAGTTGTCTTCCCATTTCGAGCAGTGAGACATAGAAACGCGAAACCTTGCATGATAGTAATACCAATTATATGGTCTACCTCAATAGCTTTCCATTCCATCTATTTCTACACTTTTCGACTATTTGATATTGGGAAAAACCATTACTGCCTCATCGATTGGCAACCCCTAGCGCGCACAGCAGACGCTCAGATGCCGTTCTATGTGATTCAGTTTTCATTACTTTACGTTTGTCCTCTGATAGTCATAGCATTTTTATATGGTTGTATTATTAATAAACTACGACAAAGTACTGCTAATCGATGCTACAATAAATCGCGTCGACGCAAGGCCTCGGAGAACTATCGCAATCGTAAAGTAACCAAGATGTGTCTTATTGCTGTGCTAGTGTTTGCGCTTTGCTGGGCTCCAATACATGTTTATGGACTGTGTTTCTACTTCGCATGGAAATGGACAATTCCTTGTGGTATTCAAGAAGTGAC